ATCTGGTAGAGCTCATCTATACAAGAGGGGGAAAAAAATCTACTTTTCCAACAGAGCAATATTCAAATATATACAAATCAGTTGGATGCAAATGAAGTTATGTGATTTTTGAAGGGACACACAGAAAAGGAGATAAAATGTATGCTGAAGGGCAAAACATCCCAAACATAGAGTGGCTTGAGTGGATGTATTTTTGTCAGTACATTTGGAGACCAAAAGGTTCTGACTCAGAGTGGAAAATGCATAATTTTTTTACGTACCGACAGGGCCGTGAGCTGGAAGGGAGGGGGACAGGAAGTAGGTTGTATACTTTGCTCCTCGTAACCTCTTGTGCAGAACACAGAAGGATTTACATTAAGCTTTGCTTTTCTATCTTGTTGATTGCTTTCAGAAATGTTAGATGAATCAGTCATGCCAACCTTTCAAATCTACGGAGGAACAGATTCGAAGACAGAGCAGAGATTTTTACAGCTCCACTGGAGCTCGCTGGATTAGCAGAGCTTCGATGCTGATAGTATTTCTTATTTAGCTTCCGTGACAGCTTCCTATGAGCCCAAAGCATCTTATAAGACACTATCTCATTAATTTTTCAACATCCTAGCGAGGGAGGTGGTGCCAAGGGTAATTTGTTATCACTGTATGGATTCAGAAATGGAATGAAGCTACTTTTTATGAAATGATTACGAAATTAGGCTGATTCAAGCCAACAAAGTTTTTTTGACTCCGTTTCTAGAGTCTTCATGCTGAACTCTCATCTTCTCATGTCTCTTTGATCAGATGGCTGAAACACCAGAAAGAAAAAGAATAGACACATTTTGGACAGATTACAATCTTCTTAGGTTTTTACCTTTGGGTTTGCTTTGTACTTGAACACTTGAATGGAAAAATCTCTAATCTTCAAAAAATTGTCTCCATCATTCTAAAACCTCAATATTCTTTTTATGAGTGTCTGCATCTAGCTTTCACATTTCCACTGAAGAGCTTTTCTGTGTGATATTTCCTCTTTTCCATCTTCTTGAAAACATAGTGAGCTCCAGGGAGCTCATAAACTGCGGAATTTAACTTCATATCTCCTGGTATCTACCACAGTGTCTGCATAAGGTAGGTATTCAGGAACTATTAATTGAATGCATGGTTCTATACATGTGTTAACAAGGTAGAATGCACCTGCAAAACCTGTAAGTATTAGTTACCTTTAGTTAAAATTCTGCTCAGCGGAGGCTTGGGGGATTTATAGGTCCAGAATACAGCATTGCTCTCTTGACAACGCATAGCTTGGATGAGCTACTTATTTTGTTTTGGTTTTTATAGGCCTAATCTTAGAGTTAAGTATGCAAAGAGTTGAAGGTTTAGGCCTCTTCCAAAATGATTTTAATTTCTGTTTTGAACAGAGATATCCTAGGGCCCGCCAATTAGTCCTACAATAGGTATAGGCTCAGATGGGCCATCCACAATTTTTCTGGAATCTCCCAGTTTCCCAGATCCACAACAGGCTGTCTAATTCAGCAGACACCCATTCATCAGACATGTCTGACAGTCTGATCATGGGAAATAGTTTGCCTTTTATGATTTTTCTTGAGCAGTGATGGCTAAAAACGTTTGTCTTTCTCTAATGTCTCTGAAACACTGACTCCAAGGCAATGATGAGAAATAAAATGAGTTTTTCACCACAAAACCAATAAACAGAAAATCCCATCTAGAGAATTCTGCTTAGATCACAGGTGATCTGACTAGTTAGACCTCCAGGAGCTTAGTGATGGGGGGACCTTCTCCAGCTGTCTAGAAGGGTGGCTGCTGTCCATCACATAGCCATGAAGGGTGGGGGCAGGGGAGCGCTGGGGGTGGAAGACTCAGGCACTGCCCTCAGGTGTTCCCTTGGGGTCGTTAGGCATTGAGTGGTCACCTCTGTCCCGTGTCTGTCCCCATCCTTTAAAGACCGATTTACTTTCCAGGCCAGGGATCCTGAACTTTAGGTGAGCAATAAAATTAATTTAAATAGGTGAAAAAAAAAAAAAAAAAAAAGGTGACAGGGAATCACTCCTTAGTTTTTAATTTCTGAGTGCTCCTGGCCTCCTGAAGAGACATCCAAGACTTTAAAGAAACTCCCAAGATATTAAAACGTGGAAGAAGACCTGAACCCCCTTTTTTCCACTGGGCATGCAAGATTCAAATTCTCTCCCATAGTATGGAAAGTTTGCTTGGTTTTAGCTTGTCCCTCCAGGAAACTCAATTAAATGGTACCAGGCAGGTTTTTTTTTTTTTCTTCTATTTTGTCGACAATTTCATTTATGGGTTTGGAGTTGAGGGACAAGCCCTATAGGGAATATAGGTTCTAGGAAAAACTTCTACTTCATTTGAAGTTCAGACTTTTTAAAGATTTTTTATGACTTTTTTAATCTGTGCTATAGGCTTCACTCGTTCTGGTGTATTTAAAAAACTGTCTTTTAGTTTCACTTTGGAATCTACCTTTTGAGTTACATTCATTTCCCTTCACTCCCTGTGGTTTGTACTAGTTTTGTGGCTGGGATGTCAATTTGGTCACCTTGACAATACGGCATATTTGTACAAAATAAAGCAACCCTGACTTTCATTTGCACCTTACTGGGTTAAGATAAATTTAGTCCACGCCTATCAACAGCAGAAATCAATTCTTTTTCCCATCATGCCAATGAGGAATGGATTTTCGTGCTCAGGTTTCTACTTCTTCAGAGCAGCAGTAATGATTGTCTAATGACTTTGTTCTGATCCATGTTAAACAATGGCGCCCTTCTGCTTTTTTCTCTTTTTCTTCTCTCTGCTCTCTGACTCTGCTGTCAGTTTTATCTACGTTCAGCAGCAATTGGTAGGGGCCAGAATTGGTTTCCTGATTTGATTAACAAGGATAGATAGAGAGATATAATGGAGTGGCTACAAGGGGCCAGTGCCATGGCGCAGCAGGTTAAGCCACCACCCACAATGGTGGGCACGGGTTCTAGTCCTGACTGCCCGCCTTCTGATCCAGCTCTCTGCTAATGGCTGGGAAAGCAGCAAAAGATGACCCCGGTGCTTGGGCCCCTGCACCTATGTGGGAGACTCATGAAGCTCTTGCTTCTGATTGTGGTCTGGCCCAGCCCTGGGCATTATGGCCATCTGGGAAGTGAACCATCGAATGGAGGAAGGAAGATCTCTCTCTCTTGCTTTTGCCTTTTAAAATAAATAAAACAAATATTTTTAAAAAGGCCTTATGTCAAACTGAGAAACATGAAGGATTATGCATTGAAGAACAGATCATAATGCAATTGTGTTAATTGGCCTCAGAAGTTTTAATCTTTTTCCCCCTTCTTCTCCCTTATAAAAGTAATCAGTTTATTTCAATCTGGGTAGGCCCAAAGTTAATATTCAATTCTTTCCTCATTTTTGTACAATGAATATGATGTGTTATCAAATCTTGTCCAGGAGTGCAGTGGAGGATGGCCTAGGTGCCTGGGCCCCTGCACCCACATGAGAGACCAGGAAGAAGCACCTGGCTCCTCGCTTTGGATCAGCGCAGCGCCAGCTGTAGCGGCCATTTGGGGAGTGAACCAATGGAAGGAAGACCTTTCTCTCTGTCTCTCTCTCTCACTGTCTATAACTCTACCTGTCAAAAAAAAAAAAAAAATCTTGTATTCTAGAAGTAAAAATGTAAAAGCAAGCTTCCCTTTATCGAAAATGCAGGAGAATTCAAAAAGTCAAGGAAATTAACCAAGTATGTGGACCTCTTTATCGATATAATGATGGAAGCATTGTTCTCTCTGAATGAAGCATTCCAATATGACAAGTACATTTTGTGGATATAGTAAAACAAGCGGGCCTTCCAGCTGTTTGTTAGCATTTTTTTTTTAACCCATGGTCTTAGGGGTACTGGGCCCAAGCAAGAATAAGACAGACATTCCCAGAAATGCTGGAAGTGTCTTAGCAATCCTGCAGTTAGGAAACTGGTAACTTCATGATCTGGAAAGGTTTAGGATAAAAGTAGGGAGGGAAGATTGAGCCAGGAGATTCTCATTGACTTTGAACCTCAATTAGATTTTGAATGGATGCATGCTGAGGAGCTAGAACACAAATAGGTGTGGGATGGGACTGTTTGGGGGCCAATGAGAGAATAAGTTTCCTCAAGGTGATTTCACACCCAAGCTAGTACTGAGTCATCAACAAAGAATATGGTCTAGCTTTTAGTGACCTACAATTGCTGGAACAGGTCTGATTCAGGAATCGTGTTCTATTGTTTCTGTGTGTGTGAAGATATGAGAATCACTCTCTGATCCAAAAATCACTCATATCCCTTGGGAAGAGTTAGGAAACAAACTGTGAGTTTGTCACTCAGGTTGTGTGGCTTCAGTTTGCTCATTTATAAAGGAATACCTAGATAATTTCTGTATTTATTTCTAGAATTAGCTCTAGAAATAAATTCCAGAAATTTCTAGAAACACATTCTGTGTTCATTTCTACAGTTTTGGGTGCTATATGCTTTGGTGCAAAGCATTAGATCATTTATCTTCAATTCATTTATTTATAAAGATGAATCATTATTTGTTAAGCATTCACTATTTCTTTGAGATATTTTTCATTTGCAGAATGGCAAGTATTAATTTGGAGCTCAAAGCCCCACCCCTAATTGTGATAGCTGCAACTAGCGAATTGGGTGATTTTTTTAAAAAACAATTCAGGTTAGAAGTTGCTATGGTAATTGCCCCCTGTTTAGTCAATAGCAGAGTTAGTAGTAAAAATGTCAAAAATTTAACAACCCACCAGGCACTTTTTCTAAGCTGCCCTAAAGGCAGACACAGCCAAGTGCTATCAACTTAGATCTGAAATCTGAACTCAATCCCTGTGTTAGAACAGGGCCTGTGTTTGCATCTGACTGCAGGAGACAAGGTGGGACGAGGCAATCTTTTGTCAAAATGGGCCCGACCTTGGGAGATAATAGAAGGAGCTTTATTTTCCCTACTTCTTTCTCAGTGTGGTGTTTTGTTTGTCCTGCAGTCCTGCAAACAAACGCTGAGCAAAGGCTCATGTAAATGAAGACTGTGTTCCTTCAAGGGAGGCCTAGTTTGCAAACAGAATCCTGAAGACCAGAAAGACATGCTGGAGCCATGATGGGTAGGTGCCTGCCAATTCCACCTGAAGAGCACCTTGGGTACTTACAGTTGAATACCTGCAAGATTTGTCTTACGGAAGATTTCTTATCTCTGGTCAAACAGTAATAATCAAGTTAAAGATTCCACTTTCCAGGGTTTAAGACTTGGGAATTGGGACTCATCTCCTCTGAGCATTCTCACAGAGGTGAGATCCAGAGCTGAGTAAGGGGTAGATGGACATTCACTTTTGTAAATTACACTATCCAAGATTTTAAGAAAGGTATTCCCATTAGAAAAAAACAAATACATTAATTTGTGTTATATCCCTGAGAAAAGTTTGTGTATAGTATAACATACAATAGTCAGGGAAGAGGTGCCTGAATAAGGAAATTAATGCATAACGAGATGGATGAATGAAAATCTATGGAATGAGATCAGTCTCGCCATTGATATTCCAGAAGTGTTAATTATGTGCTCAGCCCTTCATCGTAGCATCTGACCCATTTCTGCTCCTCTTGCTTGACTGATCATGGCTACTTTGACCTCTGTTCTATTCACTTTCCTCCAACTTCCAAAATATTTCTTGGACAACACAAACTAGAAGTGAATAGGCGTGAGTGCATGTATTTTATTTCTTCATGGCTTTCCATCGTGACTTGTGACTTGATTTTCTTTTATCTCTGTCCATTCAATCCAATAAAAGTTAGATCAGGATTCCACTCAAAATTTCCCTTGATAATCCAAGACTTAATTTCTACAATTTCAATTCTTCTAGAAATTTGGAGTGTTCAACTAATAACTGTGGAGGAATAGTTATTTCATATTTTATATCTGTTTTGAAATCTCATAATTTTGGAAATTACTCATGTGATTTCTGTAGCATGGAGGACACAGAAAAAAATCTCCTGAGTAGGACTATAGGCTCAAAATACATATGTAGATAGAAGAATCTCATGCAAATAGTAGATTAAAGCTTTCAGAGAACAGGCATCAGACTCAAATAGGTGCTCAGTTAATACTTTTTGGGTAAATAAATGAATGAAAAAATTTTAGATAACTCCTTTCTTATAGTATATCACTGTCCATTTAGGTTCCTTAATATTTAAACATTTAAATATTTTTATTTACAATTTATGTCTGAATTTAAATTATTTTTGACCTCACTCGAAAGGCATTTTTTAAATTTGAGAGGCAGACAGAGAGACACATAAATGGAAAGAAAATTTCCATCTGCTGGTTCATTCCCCAGATACGCCCAGTGGTTGGTGTTGGGCCTGGCCACAGCCAGGAGCAGGAAACTCAGTCCAGATCTCTCAGATGACTAGTAGGAACCCAACTACTTGATCTATCACCTACTGTCTCCCAGGGTATGCATCAGCAGGAAGCTAGAATTGGGAACAGAGCTGTGACTCAAACCAGCATAGGCACTATGATACTGGACATGGGCTTCCTCTTCTTTGAATGTTTATTATCTTATATGTTGATTTAAAGGTGGAGCAACACTTGGATCTGGGCCAGGCTGAAAACAGGAAGCTGGAACTCTATCTGGGTCTCCCATGTGAGTGGCAGAGACGAAAGTGCTTGAACCATCATCTTCTGCCTCCCAGGATTTGCATGAGATGGATGTTAGATTGGAAGTGAAGTAGCCAGGACTCCAACCAGGTACTCTGAAATGGGATGTGGTTTTCCTAAGCAGCAGCTTAATCCATTGCACCCATTGAGCGTGGGTATCTTGACTGATAGGCCAACACTGGCCACAAGAAACATTTTTGAGCATGGCTACCATATGCTATATTGTGTAATTAGTGCTTACTTCACAGTGGAGAATATAGTGAACAGGAAGGATCCTATGGAAGGATCTACCACTTGAGTGGTAGAAATTGATGTTAACTATATCAGGCAATATAATTTAAAAACTGTGAAAAGTCCTACAGAGTAAATCAGCAGGGTGTTAAGAGAGAAAAGCATAGAGGAAGGTGAAAGGCACACTTCAGATTAGATATTCCAGATGGATTAGCGGGGATAAATCTTCACACATGTACTCTTCATGTCCTTTTCTCTGTGAACTTGACCATTGAAAAGTGGCTGCCCAGTCTTGACTACACAGAGGAAGACAGCACCCTCCAGAACTGCACAGAAACAACACGGAAGGTACCTGGGTTGTGAGTGATCATTTGCTCTGGGCTGTGATGTGAAGGAGACCAAAGTACTGTAGATTGTGAGAAGTAATAGGCAAATACAATAGGTTATTATTAGGGGACACTAAGTACTCCTTCAACATTCTGACTGACCAGATAAAGAGCTAAGTAAGATTCAAACAAAAAGTACTATGGAAATTCAGAGGAGGCAAACATGATTGAAGTTGAGACTAGAACATGCACTCGTATATGTCATATAAAAGGCTAACCTGCCACAGCAAAGCTTTCCAGACTGGAATATCTGCTATTCCAGGGCCCAGAATCAATGACACACATGTCCGATTTTTATTACAGCAACATTCTTCCCCATTTGCATATTGCTTTATAGCTTACAAAATGCTGTTACATTTCTTATTGCATTTAATCTGCATAAAAAATAATTAACTGTTAGAATGCCCACTATGTTCCATGCACTGGTGGGTTTGTAGGTAACTTATCAAACTGAGCTTTTGTTTTAGAAGTGATTTCCCTTAAGGACCAATTAGAAAGACAAGTAGTTGTCTCCAGTGAAGATACTGTTATCCTGATTCTTGTGCATCTGTTACCCAGGATGCAAAACATTAAGTCCTATGCCCAAAGTTGCACACACTAGTTATTGCTCTATTTACTGAATCAATGCTACTCAACTCAAACAGCCAGATAGTGCACATATTTAAGGCTTATAAAATATTTTAATGAAGTAACTAATAATTTTATGTATATTTTAAACTTCACTTTTGCAAGTTGGCTGAAAAGAATAAATTGTATTGATCATATTAAGTGAGACTCTCAAGTCTGAGTTTATTAAGTTCTTTTTTTTAAAAAAGATTTATTGATTTATTTGAAAGGCAGAGTTACAGAGAGACAGAAGCAGAGATAGTGAGAGAGAGAAGTCTTCCATCTGCTGGTTTACATCCCAGATGGCTGCAACCAGCCAGAGCTGGACTGATCTGAAGCCAAGAGCCAAGAGCTTCTTCCAGGTCTCCCACATGGGTGCAGGGACCCAAGGACTTGAGCCCTCCTCTACTGCCTTCCCAGGCCATAGCAGAGAGCTAGATTGGAAATGGAACAGCAGGGACTCGAACTGGCATGCATTTGGGATGCCTGCACTGCAGGTGGTGGCCTTACCCATTATGCCACAGTGCAGGCCCCATGAGTTTATTAAATTCTGAAAGCATACAAAGTAAGTGCTTTGCTGGTAAAACATTACGGACCAGTAACAATCTGACATGGACTGGAACTAAGTGCCTGAGCAATAGTTGGATTACACTGCTTCATTTTGTAAAAAAAAAAAAAAAAAATGAAATGAAATCAGTGTTGATTTAAAATTATTCTCATTTTCTTATTATTTGAAAGGCAGAGAGAGAGAGAGAGAGAGAGAGAGAAGAGATCTTCCACTTTTTGGTTTACTCCCTAGATGCCCACAACAACCAGCACTGATGCAGGCTGGAGCCAGGACCTGGAACTTCATCTGAGTCTCCCACATGAGTGGCAGGTTTCCAACTATTTGAGTCATTACCTTCTGCCTCTTGGGGTGGGTAATAGCAGGAAGTTGACCTGGAAGCAGATGAGCCAGCCCTTAAATCAGGCATGTTAATATCGGATGCAGGCATCCCAAGCAGGGTCCTATAGTTGCTATACCAAGTGCCTGCCCATCTTATCACTGATGATTTAAAACAATTAATGAATTTGAGAGGCAAAGATAGAGAGCTCTCATCTACTAGTTCACTCCTCGAATGCCCACACTGCCCCCTGGCTGGGACCAAAGCTGGAGCTAAGAACCCAGTCCAGGTCTCCCATGTGAGTTGTATGGACTCAATCCCTTGAGCTATCATCATTGCCTTCAGGAAGCTGTAGATAAGAGAAGAACTTGGTCTTGAACCCAGGCACTCCAATACAAGATGAAGAAATCTTAAATTAGGCCAAATGATTGTCCCTGCATTGCTTTTAAAGATTACCTATTGTAGTTCTTATTAAAAAAATTATATTATGACTCAAAGACTGATGGAAGATTCAATTTCTTCACAGGTTGCCTTGTGAAGATAAAGACTCCAGAGCATGATGTGAGACAGTGAGAATGCTAGTACATAAAATACAGGTCAGCATGAGAAGAGACACAGGTAGAAGGATATGGATGGGAGGGAAGAAGAAAACAGCATGTTAAGGCTTGGAGAGGGAGGCAAGTGCAACTAAAAGGACTCAGGGTTTGTGAAAAAAGTGGGAGAAAAGAAGGAAAAGTAGAACTAGTGAGACTAGGTTCAGCCAAAACAAAGTGGCATGGAAAGTAAAGATGAGAATTACATGGGTATAAGGTCCTTGCAAACCTGGTCTGAAAAGTATGAAGACTTTAAGATACCAAGATTGACAACGTGGGCAATTTATTCCAGAAATGTTTATTGAGTAGCTATTATTTACTAACTCCTGGAAATTGAATGATGATGAAAAGAAAGGTATAATCATTGTCTTCTTGAGCTTGTAATTTAGCAAATACTTAGTGATATCCCTGAGTTCTGTTCATTGCTCTTACCTTGGCTGGATAGTATCTCTCACTACTGGCCTGCTTCTTTCCACTTTAGGGACTGGAATTGATTCAGCAGTCGAGGATTAAAGGCTGCACAGGGTAGGAGTTTCTAGGTTTTGTTTCCAATGACTCTCACATTTAATCACCTGCTGAAGAAGGTACTGGAAGGTCCCCTACAACCGGGCTTGTGTTAAGAAAAATTAGATGGTTGTCTGAGACATGTTGCCTCCGTTGCTCAGAATGTAAGAGCCCTTATGCATGAGGGTATGGATTGACTTCTATCTGAAGTGGCCTCCAGATCATCACTTTGGTTTCAATTGGTTTTGAAGTGTTGCTGAAAGAATTCTTTTGTTTTTACGTTAGGCTGACGGGTTTGCACTGTAACTATATCTGCTTTTCTACATCTCTAGTTGACACCGGGTTGACCTCTGCTTACCTCATACTTGCTAAAAAGAAACATATCTAATACCATCCACCTCTGAGATAAGAGCAAGAGAAAACAAACAGCAGAAAGACCCTTTAGGAGTGGATGACCTACTGTTAGCTGTGGAAGCCACATGACTAGGAAGGAGACTAGGGACATCTACCCTGGGCTTGTCACCAGGAGGCAGGACACAGCATTTGGGCTCCAGGAGTTTAGAATCTCGTTTGGAGCCGAGGTCTAGGCTTGATTGGTAGAATGGTTTGTGATATGTTAAATGGACAGATGAGAAATGAAACGTAGTTTCTTTGCCTGTGAATCATTTTCAACCCAGGATGTTCCATTCAAGGTGGGATGACCTCAACTACCTAGGTAGATTAAGTCACTGGAAAGTATCTTCAGGGAGATCTTGAGCTAACAATTCCATCTTCCCCGTGAAGTCACCTACTTCCATCTCCGTCTCCATCTCCATCTCCATCTCCATCTCCATCTCCATCTCCATCTTCCTTCCTTTGGTTGAACATAAATTACTCTAAGGTCACCCAGACACTGCTTGCTTGTTCTATGGGTAGGATTTTGATCACTTCCACGATGTAAGATTGAAATAGAGGGACAAAGAAATAGCAAGCACACTGAATTATTTTTGGACAGCTTTAATGGGTGATGATTTTCCTTACCCCTCATCTACACAAATCCCACTGCATTCAATTCAGATGAAAAAGAAGATTAAGAAATAATGCAGACTTTGTGAATAAACTCATTTTAATTTATGTAATTATTTTAATATATACATTATAACAATGACTTCACTGTGAAGTCGATTGGGTTTAAAGACTTTTGAAAATGCTGCTAGGTCTGGAAAGCCAAGTTTGCAGATCAACAAGTGCTTTGGAGTAAATACTGGTCAGTAAGGAAATTAAAAATGACTGCTGTTCTCCAGGAGGCCAGGAAAATGTAAATTTCCAAAAAAAAATTGGTCAAATACAAAAATTTAGAGGAGAGAGAAACCTCCACTGGGGGAGGCTTGTCGATAACAGTTTCCATTTCATCCCTTCCGTCCATGCCGTAGCTTTGTTTTTCTTTTCCATTTGCACTGTTAGGTGACCTCATCTTAAATACGTGACTTTAACTACCGCCCCTATGCTGTTGACTCACCAGTTCTCATCTCCAGCTTTGACCTCTCCCCTGTACATCAGCCTTTTTTTAAGTGACTTCTTATATTTCTACTTGGATATCTGATAGAAATCTCAAAATTAGCTTTTTGAAAATAGCGCTTTTCATTCCCCCTTTCTTCAAAAGCATGTTTATCACTGTTTGCCACAGATCTTCCATCATTTTTCAACACATAAGCATTCCTCTCCTTTGGGCAGATTATCCTCTAATTTAGATTATACCTCTAATTTGTCAGTGTTTCCTATTGGCTCAATTTCTGTAATATCCATCTACTTCTCTCAATTGTTTCTGCTACCATACTAATCCAAGTCACATTTTCTTTTAAGATTTATTTTTATTTATTTGAAAGGTAGAGTTACAGGTAGAGAAG